TGGTCATCCGAAAGCTCTCTTGAAAGGTTTGTTGGTACGGAAAGAGGGGTGAACTAACCTCGGATATGTTTCTCTGGTTTCCCTATCAATCCTTCCTCATTAAACCGCATTAAGTGCATGAGATATAACTATGTAAGGTATTTTTCCCACCTTCCTAGTGTGCCTTCGTAGTGTAGTGGTTCTGCACGCTGGGTTGGTATTCCACAGAAGTCAGTGGTTCAAGTCCCGGCGAAGGCGGTTGCTAATTTTTCATCTTGCCTGCTTCAAAAAAAAAAAAAAAAAGTATCTAATGTCTCTACAGTGGCGCCCGAACTAAAAGAGTTGTAGGTGATGACTTTCCACACCCAGGATTTGGGGATTGGGTCCCCTAAAAACCCCAGTTGCCTTTTAAAAGGGGGAATATGTAAGGTATTTCTCCCGCCTTCCTAGCGTGCCTTCGTGGTGTAGTGGTCAGCAAACTGAGCCGGTATTTCAGAGGTCCGTTGTTCGATTCCCGGCGAAAGAGGTTGCTAATTTTTCATCTCTTCTGCTTCCAAAAATTACCTAATGTTTCTACAACTTCTCTCCTCATTGGTCTGTGATTGCCTGTGAGCTACTTAGATACACAACATGAACACGCCTTCCATTCATTCCGTAATCCATTTGCTCATGTATAGCATTGTGCTTACATGCACTGAAACGTTGAATTTATTAGTAATATCGCTAAATCGAATGTGATAAACATCTTGAATCGGAGCTTCAACAAAGCGAACTTTGTTATCTATTGTGAATGTGCTTAGACAACTAGCACATCAACTTTTACACCAGTCCTTCCTATGTCGAACTCAGTGCAACGAAACCACACTAGTTTACGTAAATTCACATTTGTATCATACACTTTAACCAGCTGAAGGTGGGTTCGCTTTAGAAGTCGAAACCTTTTGCACTTCAAAGTTCGACCACGTTTATGTTGGCACAGCCATCTTACAGACGATAGTTCGTTGCTCTTATGAGACACGTGCATCATCTACGGGTGACGTTCAAATGTTGTCGTCATTTGCTGCTACTAAGGCAGAAAATTTGAAGAAGTGGAGATATGTTACAAATGAACTCAAGCTGAGAAATATTACGTGAGAGCTCTTGCAACTTAATTTTCTTAATTGAATGATTTATTTGTCCTAAAATTTTGATCGAAAACTCTGCCTTTCTAAGGTAACTTCAAATTCCTTATTTCCCATCCTGTAGCTAAATAATTTAAACGTAGCATTTTGCAGAAAAGATAAACGCTCTAATGGTTTAACGTTTTCAGAGACTTGACGTATGAGAAGTAAGCACATGCATTATACAAATTTCGTTGCCTAACATATTGTAGAAAACATGTCTTTTCTCTCTCTCACACACACATTGAGCCTAAGCAACAAATTCAATTGAAAAAATATAGAACTCTAAAGTTTAGGAAGCGAAAGCCGTTAGAAATCAGCTATGCTCAAACTGAGATCTGAATTCCCGTCATTCCTATTACTAGCTGCACGTGCTGCACCAATTACACCATAACAGTGCGCACTAGAGAAGGCTAAATTTCCTTACATTTTCCTCCACTTAAAGAGTAACTGGAAAGAGGAAACGAGATCCAGTTGGCCAAATCCACGCTATGACAAATTATAGTCCACAACCTTTTAAGACAGATGCCGGTTGAGTCATTATTACGATTTTTGGGACAGGAAGCGTGACGAATTTGCTTTGCCTTCGATGGTATTCAAAACAGGGATCTTCCGACTGCCAGACGGACGTGCTACCAGTTACATTACTACAGCATGTGGTGAGATAGGCAACAATTTTTTACGTTTTTCCTTATTAAAAGAATGATTGAGGAGGGAAGAACTCAATCCTAAATCCAGGTAGAGACGAATAATCGTCCATCACATTTTAGTCGGGCGCCCGCTATTAGGTTATTTGGAGCAGGAAACCTTAAAAGTCAAAAGTGCTCTTGCGGGAATACGAAATCCAGATCTTCCGATTGCTGGTCGATCATGCTACCAGTTACACCACGAGAACATGCTGTAGAAAGGCGGAAACTTCTTTAAAACTCATTAAATCATGCAAGTACTAAGGTTTTTATCACACAGTTTCTTAACAGACTTTCTTTTCGGCTAAGAAGAAATAAGGAATTTCCTTGTGTTTCATATTATAAGATATTTTTTCCCTTCCCTTATACGTGCTGGCATGGTGTAACAGTTACGGTAGCACTTCCGGCTAGCAAACGGAAGTTCCTTGATTCGGATTCTAATGAAGACATCGTTGATTTATCACCCTTTTCACTCCAAAAAAGGTCTAAACGGTGCGCGACTAAAAATGTGATGACCAATAATTCGTCATAACGTGGATTTGGCTGACTGCTTCTAGCATCTCTATCCTCAGTCATCTTTTATGTGGAGGAAAGTATAAGAAATTTTTGCATTCCCGTTGCATGTTGTCATGGTATGAGTAATGGCTAGCCAAACGAAGGATCCGGAGTTCGAATCTCGGTGAGGACATAGTTGAATTTTTCTATTTCTAAGTCAGAAAAATCTTACAATTCTACAATATTGCTCCACATTGTCGCAATTTAGCACACATTTCCAGAGGTCGTTTTTTCTAGAGGTCTTTTTTAAAAATATTTCTGAAATACATGCATTCTGAAATTGAATTTCCGATGCTAATTTTTGAACACAGTCTCTTTTCTGTAGCTTAAAAACTGTATCACTGTATCCAAATTTTGCTTGATTGTTAAAACTGTCTTGTGTCATTTAGTTGTTGGATTCATTCATTTTTAAGAAAAGCTTTAAATAAAGGAAAAAAAAAGTGGAGGAGGGACTTTAAAAACTAATCATCTATTGAAACAAACACCAAATGCACATGAATTATATTGCCCATATAGACCAGATTCATTTCCGTAGCAGTATATTTATCTGAAGCTTAAAATGTGTAACTATAATGTAGGTCGACTGTTTGCTTCTACTCATCTCATCACAGCCTCCAACCTTCAAGAAAAATGTTCTAGTAAGTTTCAGTACAAACTGCAAGTATAGCAAGTATTGCTCTGTTCTTCATGTAGCATGGTGAAGACCTCTGTTCTTCATGTAGCATGGTGAAGACCTCTGTCTTGGTTTGGGAAAAATTTCGTTTGCCTCACAGTAAAATATAAACTCGTTTCCAGATTTCTCAAATTAGTTGAGAACTGCTAATCCAATTCATTCATTTCATTTCCCCAAACCATTCAGTTTAAGCTTTGTTTTATGACGAGCGTTTTATCATGCTAGAAAAATATCACTCAGTTTAATCTTTGTTTTTTGAAGGGCATGTTATCATGCAAAAACAATTATAGTTCAGTTCCAAACTGTAACTGCAGGGTAGGGAATGAAACTAGTATTACTGCATAAACAGACTTTGGGCGCAAAACCTCGTAGATCAAACTAAGAAGAAAAAGTACACACGCAAGAATTTTTCTCCAACAAATTCACAGTGGTGATGATACTATACAATATGCAGCATTTTCCCGACTATCGTCGTGTTCCTCTATGTCTATTAGATAACTGGAACATAAGTATGTTTCATCACTCCGTAAGATGCTCTGCCAGCACAGCTATAGTCTAAGACAGCGGTTCTCAACCTTTTGACTAACGCGTACCATCTAAACAAAATTTGAAAACCTTTAGTACCACCACTACAAAGTACTACTACCACCACCACTCTTGAATAAAGTTCAGATCGCATAAATGTACGAGTGTTAGAGAAAAAGCTCAATCAAGATGTTGAGGTTTTAATTTTCGAATTTAATAATTAAAAATACTTTGCTTCTTTGCGTACCACCTATTTTTCTCTTGCGTACCACAGGCTGAGAACACCTAGTCTAAGGGAAAGGTTTCTTTCAGTAGCATCGTTCATAGGACCTTATATCGTTCATATAACCGAATGTGCAATCGCATCTATACGAATGGTACCAGAATTAGCATAACTTCTCAAAGCCAGTCAAATGTAGTTTCTGGTGAAGGCCTACTGGTGGATCTTCATCACACGTCAGACGCATTCTAATGATCCCGATGTATAAAACGATTCGGTTTTCGAATTCGGGATTGAAGTTTTATAACTCTCTCTTGTTTGCGTTTCTCTAATACATCACTCATTACTGCAAGCGATATTTGAAACTTTTCTACAAACCTGACGGACAGGATGAGGAATCGAAGGACACAGATGATCATGTCACATTGAGATTCATTCAGCTTGGGTCATGGATACATTCTGAGACTAGTGCTTGGTATATAGATCTACTATAAGCTCACGTCTTTTTCGATGATGATGCATCAATTATTAAATAGTAATAATAATCATTTAGCTAATAATAATTATTTTGTTTGTATCCTATATGTATCTATGATGCACTAACGATTGCAGTGGGTGTTCTTGCATTAAAGGCAATATAAAAATGTAATGAAGCGAAGTTACACGAAGCGAATCTCTTGAAGACCTTTTTTCAGCGAATATGTATACAGTATTAGAATGCCATACTGCCGAACAAAATCAATACTCTAGAACCTTTGCCTGTAGCAAAATAACATTATAAATATAACGGCTCATATCACCTTTTCCTTTTAAATAGTCAGATAAAAGCGAAAGTTCAATGTTGCTTGCGATATTTTGGTGTTAGATTTCTAGAGCGTCTTGGATGATGACGGATTATCCGCGACACGAATAGTTTATACACGGATTATTAGAAGTTTATTGAATTTTACGAAATATATATAAATAAATATATAAATATGTTTCAGTTACTCCAGAGTGCAATATTAGACTATATCAAAATTGATATTTAGGTGCAAATAAATGCTTTTTATATGCTTGTTGATACGGAAGGAAATTTTAGTCAAAAAAAAAAAAAAACTCTACTACATGATAATTTCAATTTTTTAATGTTAATGCAATTAGGGCATGACATTTAGACAAGAAGATAATGCTTAGTTACAATATTCAGAAACAATACTTACTCAGAATATCCAAGAAAGTAAGGGAGACTACAATATTGGATCCCCAGTTGATGCAAGTTGCTACAGATACAGCTCTTCCTCGAAGAGAACCTGGAAATATTTCACTGAGTACCAACCATGTGACTGAAAAAGAATCGAAAATGTTATAAAATTTGGCTAGAATATCAGCATGAGGTTTTAGAAGTTCATACTTTTCAACGTATTTTAGAAAATTCAGATGCATGCGAATAAAACAGAAATTATTTAAAAAGATCCGGCAGCACTGCTTTGATTTACATACCGGACGTACTGTCTCATCATTTTGAGGTAAATTTTCTCTAATAAATTATAACTAATTTTGTTCTACAATGGGCTATAAAGGGGCTGTTTGGTGGCTTAAAAATCAAGCAGCTTTAATTTTTTTTTTTTCTTTTAAATTAGGTTGTATATTAGAAACACTAGAAAGATAAGACTAAAATGAAAAAGTTATTCCCCGGCGTATTTCTTGTTCTTCTATTTTAAGATATCTTATCTGTTGTTTTTTGCTTTATGCGTATTTATTTCCTAAATAAAGGGCTTATAGCAGGTACAGGTAGAAGCTAGGACAACATCTTTTAGCTAGACAGCAGTTAAGCTTCCGACATTATTTTAAGGCTGAACACTTTGGAGGTCCGAGTGTCTCCCATCCCTCTTCTGTATTACTAACTTCTGGGAAGGACTTCCGGTTCGTCGGGTATTTTGACTGCCCCCTTGCCGCACAGGCACTGTACGTTTACAGATTCTTATTTCCATGACTAAATTTTTTTATTGTTTGAAATGATATGGGAAGATGGTTTCGGAAATACAAAATAATGCTTAATTTTGAATAAAGGCTCAAAACCAGCGCTTTATAGCAAATAAAATAGTTTAACAACTTTTTCTTTGATTCTCAAGTGTTTAAAGACCTTCCATCACGCCTAAATACGCCTAAAGAAATACGACACTCGTGCGCCTAAGTTTTATGCTTCTCCCGAGTACCCTTTTAGTGGGGGAGAATGTAAGGAATTATCCTATTCCCTTGTGAGTACTGTCGCGTTATAGCGCACCCAGCTAGCAAACAGAAGTTTCGAGGTTCAAGTCCGGCTGAGGGTGCAGTTGATTTCTCGTATTTCCTTGCTCAAAAAGAAATCTAATTTGTTCTAAAATTATCACCAAAAATAGCATGTATTATTGTCTGTTATATTCATTTTCATCTCTAAAATTTCTGTTTAATTAAAATAAATGATACTTAGCTTTTTACCTGGTCCGTAGCTCATCCCGTATGCACAAATAAATATCATTAATGAAGTAACTGATATAATTTTTATCAGAAGAGAGGGACCAATATCCACTTGCTGAGTTGCAGAATCCAAATAGTCTTCGCTATTGTTTGTTACTGTCAACATTCGATGTTTTTCATGTCTATTAACTGGAAGCGTGCCATTTTTTAATAAAGTTTCATTTTTACTAAGTTTTACTATATACAGACTTTTGTTATTGATTTCAGAGAATTGAAAACTTTCAAAAAATATATTGTCTTGAAAATCTTTTAGACTTTCTGGCACACTACTTTTGTTTTTAATAAAAAGTATCTTGGTGTTTTCAGTAATTATTTTTGCGTCGTTGGTTTTCGGAAAAATATAGCTTCTGCTGAGTACAAGTGGTTTAATATTGCGAGGAGTCTGAGAGGAAGTGTTTGAATAAACCGCTGGTGAAGTACAACCATCCGTCGAACTGTATGCTCCCTGAAAAGTTCCAAAAATTCCAAGAAGTGTTATACTGGTCGCCATTAATAGACAGCCTATTAAGAGGAGAGATCTTCTTCCAACTTTGTCAACTATCAGAAGAGTTACAGCTGTAGAGAGCACCTGTAATAATATTGTATGAAAACTTCAAAAAGTTACATAATTTATGTATATTTTTATACTAGAAAACATAAATTTATTATCTGAACACATTTGTGTTTGGACAACAGAGTTTAAAAATAGAATAGAATTCTTCGGAAAATAATTTTTAGACACTCTATCGTCTTCTCAGTTTTTTCAACAAGATACTCTGGAAAACATATCATAGATTACTGAAGAGTAAATTGTAAAATAAAATTCAGTGTTAAAGCTGGTATCTAAAAACTATAATCAAAAAGAAGCCGACCGAAAAAAAAATTAAATTACGTATTATATTTTATAACAACTTTAAAAAAAGAGGAATGAAACGAGATTAGAGTATTTTTCTGAACTTAGATGGGAAAGTCCATATGTAAGGATTTTATGTTAATTAACCAATTATTATGATTTAAACCGTTACTATAAGTTTTTCTTTGCGTAGTCCTCATCCGAATGCAAATTAGTTGTTTGAGTATTTAAGCTGAGAGTTTTCGATGTTGAGGTTTTCTTGAGGGTTTAATTAGAGATTTTTGGCAGCGCCACCTGCAGTTTATGTCCTGTCATCAGTTCTGCCAGAGATTATTCTGGCTTTACCCATGTTGCTAGCCGATGCTAAAAACGCGTCGTTCAAATATTTTAGCCAGCTTAAGAAGACTTTTTCGTGTAGTCTCCGACTACGTTATTTGAATTTGAACTTCAGCTTATGTTATTTCAAACTCTTGCAAGTGGTGGAAGTTCTTTTATATACACAAATGGTGTCTTCTATTTAATTTAAATATTTATAATCCAAACTGGAGCAGCAATAACTCACTTATGAGTCTAGTAATGTCTGAAAGACCTTGATTTAAGTTTCTACACCAAAGTTAGAACCCTACAAATATAGCGCAATTGACTTCCAGGAACGTGAAGTACGTTAAAAAAGTACATATTTTGCATATCATAATATTACCAAAAAGACTATATTATAAAACCAAAAGACAACTCATTGTACATCGAAATAGAGCTGCGATATTTTGACTTAGTGAAGTATTGGGTGTGAATGAAATTGCCGATAGCGGATGGGGTGAAAATACAGTCTCTGGCCACAAACACTGCATCGCTATAATCACGTCATAGCATCACTACAATTAGCAATACAGGCTGGGCTGTGGAGGTCATTTTGACGAGGGTCTCTTTAACACTGTTGAAGAAAGCATAGAGGACATGTATAAGCAAGTATTTCCTCTCTGCATGACTTGTGGAGCAAAACTTTAATACTGCGTTTGGCAAATGTGTGATTAATGAAAGCAACAATGAAAGGTGGTGTATGGAATTTCGCGCAGAGAACACAGCACTAGAAAATGTTCAGATAGCCATCCGTTGGCGGTAGTTTTAAATGAGCGTCCAACGAACATTGTTATGTAGCGTATTTTAATATAATGGAATTAATAGCTGGATAAATACCAAAATTTCACTGGTCTTCTGTATACCTAGTATGTGATGATTCATATTAAATCCAATTACATTTTAATATTTGTAAAGTAAAGCAAAAGAGTTTATTTCTCTCTTGTGTCTTGGTATTAATTCAAAATATATTTTCAAAAATAATTCTTTTAATCGCAACTCATTTCAATTTTAGTACTAAACTGACCATCCATTACCCCATCAAAGTCTTTATTATATAATCATATAAAAACATAAGATATATATCAATACATAATATCTTCCCCAAAACTACAGGTAACTTAACAACCAACATAATCCATTAAATCACTTCTATAGAATTTGAAAATACAAATTCAAAATACTTAGAGAAAATTTCGTAACACTTAACAAATCAAGCACTAATTCGATAATATACAGATTCAAATTTAGTAACTGTATCTAGTTAAAAGTTACAAGCATCAGATAAAATCAAAAATTTACTAAGCTTATAGGTGCGAGAAAATATAAACGAAAAGCCTTAGTAACTAGGTCCGTATATTCCAGGAACTCATAAATCCGAAGAAATTAACCATGGGCTAACTTAGTAGACTACCTAAAAGCTCAAATTATAAATTTAACATTTAATAGCATATTTATTAAAGATCTAGATTAATCGTAATTTTAAAAACAGTTGATCCCTAAAAAATTTACGAATAAAATAATTTTCCTTGCAAAATTTGTTTTATCAATTATTTTTACGTCATTCCAAAGTCCTAACAAACATATTTCAGTTCATTACCTCCATAAAAACGTACTTCTATTCCAAACATATATAAATGATTAAATTATTATCAATAGAATTCATTTAGTGTTATCGTTAAGTATTCCCAATCGCTTGAGAATCCTGCATTTAGTATCATAGTTAAGCATTCCCCATATACTGAGAAATCAATTTACTGAGAATCAAGAATACATCCTTAAACAAAACACCAAAAATGGAAATGAGACAATATGTTGAAATAGACTCACTTTTGAAATTTAGGATCTTCGGGAGGGCTTGCTCTTTATTCACTTCTGTTAGACACATAGTTTATGATAGGGATGTTTGTATGATATCTGCCACTAGCCGCGAGTAACACTTCTCGGTGAAAAGTAAACGGAAGAGGGGAAAAAAGTAAACAAGGAATAGATTGCATGTAACGCCCCGAGTAGGGAAACCGCAAGTTTGAATAGTGAAGATGAGAAACTGAGGTGAAATCAATGAAGAAGGTGAGATCCTCAGCTCTCTAGACAGTGGGGTTGGTCTAAAATCTCACTGTTTTATTCTTTGTCAGAAGCTCAAACGGCAACTCGCGAATATATCACTCTCCAACCAACGATGTTCTTCCAGATTCCTCTTACAGGAAACCGGACTGCGAATCGTGTCTACCACAGACATAGTGTTTTCCTTCCTTGAGGTGATTAGACCCGGGAGACTGCAATCCCTCTCTTTCTGTGTTTATTTTAATTTCATAATTAAAGCTACTTCAAAATCTCCAGAATAGAATCTCAAGGAAATACTAACTCTCTCGTCATTCCCAACCTGTGAGGAAAACCTGTTAATATTAGTTCAATTTAAATATTGAAATTTAGCTTTAGCCAATATCTTAATTTTAAGCCTCTTTTTAGCCAACAAAATCTAGGCAATAAATTTCCAGAGGCTCCCATGAAATAGAAATCCAACTCCAGTGGAAATATTCGAAACTCTTGTTAGCTGCAAAAATTTAAAACATTTTATATAAAAGGAAAAGTCACTCCTCGGTCTTTAATTGACCATAATTGGCGAAAAACTCTCTCCTGCGAATGCAGTTAAAATCTTGAAAATTCCCTAGTCTTTATCATCTTTCGCAATAAATAACACAGATGAAAAATAATTTCTCGTCTATCATCTAATCAAATCACCTGCATTACACACCTTGACTTGCATCCTACATTGTTTAGCACAGAGATCATTACACAACCGTAACTAAATAATTAATAATTGCAATGATTCCATACATAATTTAAATTATTTAATAGTATTAATATTAAATTTTATTTACAACAATACTATTGAAGCTGATCCTCGCCAAAATATTCGCGTTATTACAGAAGAACTTTATAAACAACGTACTACTATTTTCGATGTCTCCATGACATCGGCAAGGTGAAAAAGTTGCCAAATGAATTGAAAATTCTGAATAAAGTTCAGCATTTATATGTATGCAGTCCTTCCAGTCTGAGGAACAAATGAGAAGAAATTCTACATCGGATTATGATAGCTTACAAAAAATAGCGATATAGCACGACAATTGTAAATGAACAGCACAATGGAAAGATCGAAAAGCAAGAAAACCATTCTTCCAAAGCAATTCTCGACCCAAGAAAGGTGTTTCTGCTTGTGTGGTGGTCTACTGTTGGAGTGATTCCTCGTGCCTCCTTCCGTCAAGGCCGGACTATAAAGTCTCTCAGTGCACTGTTGTATGAAACCCTTCCTGAAGCGTGTAATCTCCTGACTTATCATCCCAATAATCAGTGCCACTTCTGTCACCTTGAAAGCTTTTTAGTCGTAAAAAAATTCTCTGACAGACAAGTTCCACACACAGATCACAACTTCATCTCATCACAGACTCTTTTCTTTTCGCTAGGATTGATTTGATTGATTTATTTAAGCACACAACGGCTACCTGCCTAAAAGAGGGGATGCTTTCGTGGAGGACTTTCTAAAGAAAACTGGTTCGTATACAAGTTGCACATGGGTAAAACTACGAAAACACCCATGCAGCCAGACCGTTCGCGGAGATTCGAATTCCGGATAGAATTATCAGGTTCAGTGTTCCGCCTTACTTGCTTTGGGAACATGTAAAGACGAATCGGAAAGGGCCTACTAAGCTATGTGTCAATAAAATGTGGAATAGACAAGATACACAGGAAGGGTATACGAAACCTTTATTTTCACTCTTACAATAATTTCCGACTTCGGAATACAGAGACAACCACTTGTGGTCTGAACGTAAGAATATAAACGAAAGAGCAAATCATAAAGAACATATTCAGGAGATGTAAAGAACAAAATAATAACGCCCATAAATAGAGAATACGCGAGTCCAGTCGTACTATGTAGGAAAAAGAAGGATTTCCCTTCCTTCAGGATAAAAGGGCTTGGGGGTTTGCTATCGTTTACAGAAAACTCAAGAGTATTACTAAATGCCCGGTTTACCCTTTGCCGGTGATAGAGGAAATTATTAGAAAGATTAAATCTACAAGATACATGACTACTTTGGACTTAAAGTCGGCTACTATCAAATAGCTATGAGACCGAAGACATACATAAAACCGCGTTATAACAAAATCGGGCACTTATGCATTTTTACGCATGCCCTTTGGGTGTGTGGGGCCCGTCAACATTCCAGAGAGCTATGGACATTGTTCTAAAGCTGTCCTAGGAAATCGACTTTAATCTATCTAGATGATATAATTATAACGAGTAGTACGTTGGAACAAACATATTAAAGATCTAGAAGAAGTTTTAAATTATTAAAAGAGGCCGGTTTACAATTAAC